TAAAACTTACAATATAGTAACCACAAAACAGGAGTTTAAGATAATATAACTACTTGAGCATTATGAATATATCTAGCTGTAAAGGCTGAAACCATCGAAACACTGCATTCGCAACATGTTACTCTTCTTGCATCATGGTTCACTGACTGAAGACATTTACAAAATAATAATAATGAATAAATACAAAATACTCAATGATAACATTTGATGATAATAACAATAATAAAAAGGGATTACAACAGTGATAGTAATGATGATGACGATAAAAAATAAAACAGTAAAAAATAATAATAACAATAACAGCAATAATAGGAGTAATAACAATAATGATAAGAAAGAGACAAACATTTTTTTTTTATTAATAATAATAATAATAATAATAATAATAATAATAATAATAATAATAATAATAATAATAATAATAATAATAATCATCATCATCATCATCATCGTCATCATCATCATAATACTAATGGAAATAATAATAATAATAATAATAATAATAATAATAATAATAATAATAATAATAATAATAATAATAATAACAATAATAATAATAATAATAATAATAATAATAATAACAATAATAATAATAATAATAATAACAATAATATTACCAAATATTAGTAATAATGATAACAAAAAGAATATATAATAAAAAGATGAAAAGATGGACATACAAAAAAAGAAAAGAAGAAAATTGGAGGCAGAGCAAAAAGAAGGAAATTAAGGACCAAGAACTAAGGACGAGAAAGAGGAAGAGGAAGAGGGCAAAAAAAAATAATAATAATAATCTTCATTAATGAATAAATAGATTGGAAAATTCATGAAAACAGGTAATTCCTTAATGTGTCCGTTGATAATCAATAATATGCATTTTTCCTCCCATATATCTATCTCTGTCCAGTTGCCATGAGTCTTTTTTGGATACTTTTCATGGCTGCTTTCCCTTTACTGTGTCCGTATGTCCAAGATATATTTCACTTTAATGTGGAAAATCAAGAAAAGGTGTATGCAACAAACTATCATAGAGGAAACCAAAGACCACTACTAATTCAATTGCCAAAGCATTCTAAAACAGGTAGAGAAAGATAAAAATGGATCTATGTATATATCTACTATTTTGAGAAGGCTATTCATAAATTTTTTTTCTTCTCTTTTGGCTTAAAACTAAAAGTAAAAATCCAATATCGTATTTCGGAATAAAAAGTAAGAATTAAAAATAAACCTGAGCTACCCTAGACAGTACACCATACTTAATATGTCTACTAATATTTTACTTTTTTGTCTACCATTAAATCTTTCTAAAAAAAAATTATTTTTCTTTTCCTGAGGTTCTACAGTATCTACAGTCTCTAATCAATAACTGAGTCCTTTATAGTAACTGCTTTTAACTGAGCATTTCATTTACCAGGATTCTTTTTTCATTAGTTTTCATCCTTTCCCTCTTCGTTTTCCTGTTTTTTTTTTTGTTTTGTTTTTTTTCATTTCCTGTTGCTCCATACATAATGTGATGTACATTTTTTTTTGTTAAATCAAACTGAATACGAAAAATGAATGAAAAATTAAAAAATTTATTAGTACACAAAGAAGAAATAGGTTTCCCTCACTGAAGTCTGCATCCAAACATTTAAACGTTATCAAGAAAGAAGAAAATGCCTAATAGCATTCTCATACAGATATTCAAATAACAATTTTAATAATAATAATACTAATAATAATAATAATAATAATAATAATAATAATAATAATAATAATAATAATAATAATAATAATAATAATGATAATAATAATAATAATAAAAAATCTACTAATAAATTAAACTCTGATTATTCTTTAATAAAAATCTAAGGACATTTTACAATGACTACATTCTTATCCATACAGCTATATATCTATATATAGCCTCAGGGATAATAACCCTGCCTTTTTTTTTAAGATAGCCGGCTTGGCAATTACAAAGATAAAAGCTACAAATATAAGCCACCAATACTTTCAGAAACAAGGAACAGAATATTAATAAGGGAAAATTCCTACAACTCTAATGAAAAACAATAATCATTAAAAATATAAACATAAATCTGAAAATTTCCTTAAAATACGCTCAAATGACGATGTCACACCTGGATGCTTCCCTTTTCTCTAAAAGAAAACCAATATATCAAGTCTCTATGAGAAGTTAGACCCTCGGTAAACTTGACCTCGCATGCTAAACTACATATTGTACAAACTGAGGTATAATGATCCAAAAGCCAAATCAATTCACAAATACAAAATCATTCAAATGCCGCCCCTCGATGTTTGATTGAAAAAAAAGGAAAAAATTTCCCTCTTGTACATTTATTTTCTTTCTTTTCTGGAATCAATGGTAATTTAGAACATAATGTGAATTGATTTATATATGAAGTACTAAAACCTCTACTAAAATTCTTTCGTGTAGTATACATGTATGAGCATTGCTACTAACTACCAAATGAGTATTCACTGCATCTGAGTTACA